CACTCCCGTCAATTGGGTACAGTGGAAATCCCGATTCACGCTGTATCTCAAGAGTCATAAGCTTTAATGCTTACTTGACAAAGAATGGGTGAAAGACGAGAAGAACAAAGAACAGTATAAAGTTAAAAACTACAAAGTATTGAACGCGCTCTATGGCGCTGTTAGCAAGGAACTACACAACGAGATCCTTGAGAACGATACTTCTTTTATCAATGCTTGGGACGCTTTGGCTTCGGCATGTGGACAAGAATCGGTGATTACGATTTGTGCAGCCTATCGCAAGGTCAATCAGATGAAGTACCAACCTGGAACATCGTTGGCCAAACATATTTCAAAATTCAAAAGCGCGTATACTAGGCTAGCTGATCAAACGGCAAATCATCTTCAAGAGTTTGGTACGGTCACATCATTCATGGCCGCTGCTATTTTCTTGGAAAGTCTAGAACTCGATCCCGAACTCGCCTCCCTTGTTCAAACTTGTTACGACATCAGTCCGTTCAATCTTAAGAACGTGACTGATTGGGTCGGAATCGAGGCTGCCCGAAGATCATCTCGCGCTGAATCGCAATCAACGGTTATGTTTGCTTCCACCTCAAACTCAAATTCCAAGCCAAATCAAAAGAAAAAAAACAAGCAGTCTAAACCGAAGGCTGTAGCTCCAACAGTAAATGATGGTACCCAACTTACTGGCTCTAATGCTAAGGGAACCAAAAATAACTCCTCCTCTTCCTCAAAACCACAAGCGTCCGATGCGATGGAAAGTCGTTTTCAGCAACTTGAAAGATCCGTTGGCGAATTGACCGATTTGATGAAGAAATTCACCTCGGCAAATATGTTGGGAATGGTACACGACAACGTGAATACTTCTGAAACTAGTCGAGGACCTTTTGATGTTGACTCTGATCGATCGAACTTATTTGTCGCAACGGTTCAACATGCTTCACGGGAATATTTTTCAAGATTTCTAGTATTTGATACAGGCGCCACGCAGTCATGTGTGATCAATATTGAACTACTTACCGATGTTCAGCCTCTTACAAATCACTATATGAATACTTTTTCGTCACCGGTTGAAGCAACTCATGTCGTAACGCTTAAGATTGGTGATTATTATATTAATCCGGTTTATCTGGTCCCAAACGGTTATGCAAACATCGTATCTGCTTCTCAACTTATCGATCACGGTCTCAAACCACACTTCAAGACGGATCAGTTTTTGATTAAAGGCGGTGACAAAGTCGTGGCTACATTCCCTCGAATTGGGAAGTTATTTCTTGCACCTATATCTGAGTATATTTGTGTGGTGAATATGAAAATACCCGACGAGTTTGATTGGCACTACGCGTTAGGACATGCTTCCGACAAATATGTTGAAATACAGTTGAATTATATGGTCGCCACAACAACATTTCAGTTTCGGAATCAACTAAGTCTAAAGACTGCGACATATGTATGAAGGCTAAAATACATCGAACACCTCATAGTCGAAAGCTTCCATCATCTACGATGCCATTTCACCGGTTGCATACCAATGTTCTTCAAATATCGCTGCCGTCTAAACTGGGTTTCTGTTATGTTCTTGTGATTGTCGATGACGTGTCACAGTTCAATCGAATTTATCTACTGAAGTCCAAATCAGAGTCTGAAGGCAAATTGTTAGCCATGATTGAAGAGTTAAAAAACAAGCTTCAACGCGTACCTGCTTACCTTCACAGTGATCGTGGTGGCGAATTCAGTTCGACAAAGTTTCTGGATAAATTGTGCGAATACGGTGTATCAGTAGAGCGTGGACCGGCAGATTCGCCTCAAACCAATGGGGTTTCCGAGAGATTCAATGGTGTGTTACTCGAAAAGATCAAATGCATGTTATTGCAATCACAGGTACCACAATCAATGTGGCACGAGGCGGCTTGTCATGCATCTACGTTGTTGAATGTGCTCCCACATTCGTCAATTGACTGGCTTTCACCAACTTCAGTTCTTGTCAAACACAATTCTCTCATCGAACCCGACAGGACAAATATGCCGCTTGTGCCGTTTGGTGCTCGAGTTGTTGTCCATCGCCCGGAATCTTTGAAGATTCTTCCGAAGGGAGTTGAAATGTTGTTTTTGGGTTTTGAGCCATTCTCGGATGCTGC